TGATAATAGTGCCTGTTCCATAGGGTTGGTGCCAGGGGTAAATAAGAAAAGAAGTATAAGCTTCAGGAGATTGGGCTTCCCTCACAGCTCAGTTGGTAAAGAATCTGCCTGCAATGCAGAGGACCCCAGTTTGATTCCTGGGTCAGGAAGATCCCCTGGAGAAGGGATAAGATATCCACTCCAGTGTTCTTGGGCTTCCCTGGGGGCTCAGCTGGCAAAGAATCTGCCTGCAATGTGGAAGACCTAGGTTTGATCCCTGGGTTGGGAAGATCCCCTGGAGAAGGGAAAGGCTACCCACTCCAGTATTCTGGCCTGGAGAATTCCATGGACTAAATAGTCCATGGGGTTGCAAAGAGTTGGACATGACTGAGCGACTTTCACTTTTCACGAGATTATCTACCTAAAGTGCTGAGGACATTACAATCCTTTAACAAACATTAGCAATGTTTCTGTTGTTAGTTCTGATAGTCTGTGGACTCCACCTGGTCACTAGTGAGGCTCAGCCATTTCCAGCACTAAAACCACTGTATTATGAAATTCGGGCCTCAGCTTCTCACCCCTACAATCTGCAGTGCAAGCCCACCCCAAGATACAGACATTTCTATCAGATTTTAAGTAGCCTGGCATTTGGGGGTGCTCTTTTCTTCTGAGTAGGTACCCCAGTATGGGGTAACGATGAGACTTAGCTTTAGTGTGGTTGTGAAACAGGAAGGAAGTGGGCAGGGCACAACATTTAAAAGAATGACAGTCATTGAGGATATGACAAAAACTGGTTAGAAGCAATTAGGTTCAAGATAGCAGAAGATTCAACTTTCAGTAGACCTTGAACCTCAATATATGTTCACTGTAATACATCCGCATGCTAAATGACACACCCACAGACACCATGATGGTTCTCTAGGGCAACCATAAAAGGCCAAAAAGTGACCAGTGGCCCACTTCCTAGAAATCCCCACTCCTTCCCCCCAAAATTGAAATAATCCTCCCACTCCATTACCCAATCCATAAAAACTAACCACCCCATATTTCAGGGCCTCTCGCCTTCTGAGATGGCCTACACTCTGTCTGTTGAGTGTGTTTCTCTCAGGACTGATCTTGTTTTTTGAGGTGGACTGCATTCTGTCTATGGAATGTATTCTTGTTGTTCAGTCGCTCAGTCTTGTCTGACTCTTTGGGACTCCATGGACTGCAGCACACCAGGCTTCCCTGTCCTTTACTATCTCCTGGAGTTTGCTCAAACTCATGTCCATTGAGTCTTGTCCTCTGTCGTCCCCTTCTCCTCTTGCCTTCAATCTTTCCCAGCATTAAGGTCTTTTCCAATGAGTCAGCTCTTCGCATCAGATGGCCAAAGTATGGAATGTGTATCTCTTTAAATATATCCACTTCTTACCTATCACTTTGCCTCTTGCTCTATTCCTTCTAAGCTGAAACATAAAGAACCTGTCTTAAGTCCTGAGACCAGGTGAGCAATCTTAATTAAATGACAGTGGGTTTTGGCTGGGTTTGAGTCCCATCTTGTGAGGATTCAGTTGCAGAGAGTGGATGGAGCAGGGGAGGACCCCAGAATGGCCATGGCATGTTCCAGATTCCTGATGTTGCCACTATAAATACTTGTTTCCTTAAATATTAAGTTACACAAAAAGCATCAGCTACTGCAGAAGAAAAAGCCACTGCAAAAGACTGAAAAGCCAGAAGCATCATTGAAATGCAAATAGACATTAAGATGTTCACACACACACACACACACACACACACATAAAGATCAATATGTGAGATGATGGATGTATTAATTACCTAGCTGGGGGAATCCTTTCACAGTGTCTATAAATAGCTAATTATCATGATATACAATTTAGAGTTTCATTTTCAGTACCTTTCATGTCTACCCCAGGAATTTTTGTTTGAATAAAAATTCTGTTAGGATCACTACAAAGGTTCACCACAGTAGAAATAATGAAATCATAAGTCCATGCAAATCTTAAAAATCCTATTCAGGATTCCAAATATCCATATATTTATCCACAGAGCTGAATTATTCACTCCAAAATTCCACGCTATTAAAAATCACAGACCGGTTTCCCTGGTGGTCCAGTGGTTTGGAGTCCACCTGTCAGGGCAGGGAACACTGGTTTGATCCCTCATCTGGGAAGATCCCACATGCTGGGGAGCAACTAAGCCCGTGAGCCTGTGCTCTGGAGCCCGGGAGCCCCAACTACTGAGCCATGCCTAGAGCCTGTGCTAGGCAACAAGAGAAGCCACTGCAATGAGAAGCCCAAGCACCACAACTACAGGGTAGCCCCCTCTCACCACAGCTAGAGAAAGCCTGTGCACAGTGAGAGAGGCTCAGCACGGTCAAAAATAAATAAAAATAAAATTTAAAAAATCACACAGAAAGAACTTTTGATAAAAACAAACAGGAAAAAAGCAGCAAAGGCAGATTGGGTGGTACGTTAACTTTATTTTGAATTATAACATGGAATTTATCATCAAACAAATGGATGTAATGAAGAACTTTAGGGGTTCAACTAAGCAAATGATGTGCATAGGAATCACTGCTCCTAAATCTGAAAATGCAGAGCTCACTGAATTGTGAATTAGACTAACATAAAATAAGAATCATCTACCTGTGTGCAAAACAAATGCAATTTAACTTTATAAAAAAAAGTTTTCAAATGCAATTTAAGGAACTCAACTTTTGTTCAGTCTTTGGTAAGGGATTAATACAGTCAGCTTCCCTGCTCTGGACAATATCATCTCATCTCATTCAGACCAAATGTGATCCTTTGTAAGCTAGAGATCCCTTGCCTACAGTTAAGAAAGTGAAAGTGAAAGTCGCTCAGTCGTGTCCGACTCTTTGCGATCCCATGGACTCTACAGTCCATGGAATTCTTCGGGCCAGAATACAGGAGTGGGTAGCCTTTCCCTTCTCCAGGGGATCTTCCCAACCCAGGGATCGAACCCAGGTCCCCCGCATTACAGGTAGATTTTTTACCAGCTGAGCCACAAGGGAAGCCCACAGTTAACAAAGCCTCCGTTAAATACTGTTAAAGCTACTGAATTCATTTTTTATGCCCCTAGTATTGATCAAGAACATTATCCATTTAAAAGGATCTAACAAATAGGCCAAGGACCATGTGCTCTAGTGGAAAACACTGTGATTTCATCCCATTTTGTCTTTGGGGACTTTGCTATCAGTAGCCATTATACTATTTTGATTTATATCAGTGATGAGCAATTTAAAAATTTTTTTTTGGCTGGGGAAAACATAAAACATTTCAGCCCACATTATTTTCCTTTTCAAAATGAACATTAGCTTTATGAAATTCCCATGAAAAAAGATGTAATTGTACAACTTTGCTAAATAAAAGAAAGTCAATGAAGAAACTGGCACGGCTTTTAATTATTAAGACGTTTATATCTGGATGTTTTAGTAATACAGAGCTTTCTAATTTTTTTGTCCCGAAATTAGATTGCAGGCTCATCGCTTGGCTGGTTAGGTTACAGGCATCTCTGCGGGCTCCGTGGGTTGCTCATTACTGGCTTTGCTGTGATATGGATTAAAATAAGTTGATTTTTTGATGACTGTTTTATTGATCATAACAAACTTTAAGAGAATCTCTTCTAATGTCAAAGTTATTAATTCACTACTGACTTAAAGATAATGCTTTTAGTACTGCTGCAAATTGGTTAAATATATAAATATATATGTATATATATTACGTTTAGAACATTTCCCTCCATTTTAATGTTTTCACATGGAACATTGGCTGGAAACCACAGCAGACATGAACAAGAATACTAAAGATGTGTTTAAATAACTGAAATGCCATCCGTGTTTATTACGGTAGGTTACAGAAAGAAGATTTAATTTTTGTGTGTGCAATTAGGCAGCGACTGAGGCGTTTAGACACCACTGATTTAAAAAAAGTGCATTGAATATAAATTCTGACCCCCCTCAAAGGAATAAAACCTAGGTTTCTTTCCTGGAATCAATCAGGTCAAGAACATGCACAGATGAACACTTATTAAATACTAGTAACAGTCTTTTATTACTTATACTCCTTCAATAGTAACAGTAACACAGTGTACTTACATACATCACATTATATCCAAGGACTCCAAAGTCATTCTATCAAGCAACGTGGTGTTGGAAACTCAAGATTCCACAGCATGTCAAGTTTACTTAGTTATGGCACAGGAAGTAAATTCCCAGCAATAGACCTAGAGTGACAGCTCAAAGAGACAAGCCTACATTTCTTGTGGCTTGTGATTTTCTGAATTTCCAAATTTGCCACTTGTATCCTACCATACCAACAACAGTGACTCTAGGTAAAAATGACCTTTACACATGAGGAATAAGATGAGGACTAAATGAACAATTTGTCTTTTTTTATAGTTCCATAGTCCATCTTTGAAAAGCACATGGTGGAAGGTCAGAAGTGGCTTTTTAATAATATAACTTCACCCATTATTGATTCATAATAACCATGGCCAGGAGCCTTGGGTGGATGAGAACATTTTATACTGGCATGACATACACATTCATGTAAAATATGATAGAACCATATTTTTGAGCTCACATATACTTAACACAAAAGCAAAAGAGCATCAGTTAATTGAAGGTCAGACTTTCAGTCTTTTTAAAGGAACAAAGCTTCCTGTTTCTGTTTCTAAGAGGGTTTAACTCTGTCTTAAGAGTTTAACTTAAACAAGTTGATGTAGTTTCAAACGAGTTTCTGTGGAATCCCCAAATGAACATCCCAGGCCCGCTGGAGTGGGGCTGGAGGCCAGAGCTAGAAGCCCACTACATTGGAAGGGTCCCTGAGCGGCTCTGTTCTCCACTCAGGACACACAACACAGAGCTCTTCTTGGTCAGGGACCCAGGGTGGGCGTTCTGGGCATTTTCTTTCTTACAGAAATTTCCAACAGTATTTGAAAAGCAATTTCTTTTTGGACGGTATGATTAAGGTTTCTATCTTTCAGTCAAATATGGGACTGAGTTAGCTCTTCCTGTGTCCTTCTTTACTTCGGAGGAGACGCAGTATATGTTCATTTTTGGTTAGTTCTGCTGGAAGTTCATTGGCCTGAAAGAAAATAAAAGAGGCATGAGGGAATTCTCAACCACAGTTGGTGTGGTTTTAGGGACTCTGAAGAGGGGCCCTCACCCAGACCTGCTCCCCCACTGATGAAAAACCCCACTGGACTTAGTCTTTTGTATCAAGGTTTTTTTTTTTGTTTTTTTTTTTTTAATATACTTAAATGTACATATCACCAGTTACTTTCTTACCTCATTGTTAGTACTTTTTCTTTCTTTTTAAAACAAGTTTTGGAGTAGAGTTGATTTACATTGTGTTAGTTTCAGGTGTAGAGTGATTCAGACATGTGTGGGTATATATACAGATATGTGTGTGTGTGTATATATATGTGTTCTTTTTCATATTCTTTTCCATTATGGTTTACTATAAGATACTAAATATAGTTCCCTGTGCTATACAGTAGGATCTGACTGTTTATCTATTTTATATTTAGTAGTTTGTATCTGCTAATCAATCCCAAACTTCTCATTTATTCCTCCCCCACTTCCCTCTTTGGTAACCAGAAGTTTCTTTTCTATATCTGTGAGTCTGTTTCTGTTTCTTAATAAGTTCTTGCATATCATGTTTTATTTTAGTTTTTTAAGATCCATGCATTATTTTTGGCTGCACTGTGCCTTCGTTGCTGCGTGGGGGCTTTCTCTCCTTGCAGCAAGCGCAGGCTACTCTCTAGTTGTGGTGGGGGGGCTTCTCACTTCAGTGGCTTCTCTTGTCGCAGAGCATGGGCGCTAGGCATGCGGGCCTCAGTAGCCGCGGCGGGAGACTCGTTGTTGGATGAGACGGCAGAGTCAGGAGATAGCCAGAACGTAAGACACACGGCAAAGAGCAGCTTCAGCATCCCCCATGCCCTGCCTGATCCAGCCTCACACTACATCCTCTTTTCACAGTGCCGCTGAGACGCATTCTTCAAGCATTTATTCTGTGAGCGAGTCTCTAGTCCAAGAAACAGACATGACAAGGCAATGGTTCTCAAACTTTTCAGTCTCAGGGCTTTTGTACACTCTTTGGAAAATTATTGAGGACCCTAAAGAGCTTTTGCTTTTAACTTATTAAAAGTGAAAACTGAAAAAAATTAAGTATGTTTATTAATTCATTGAAAATAGTAAGCCTATTAAGGTTAACATAAATTGTACAATTTTTGAAAAAGAACTAAAATTTCAAAAACAAGAAGAGTAGCAGTGTTAACAGTTTTGCATATGTTGTTACTGTGTAGCTTAAAAGAAGACAATTAGATTCCATATCTGCTTCTGCATCCAATCTACCACAATATTTTGTTTTGGCTAAAGTACAGGGAAAAAATTTAGCTTCATACAGACAGGTAGTTGGAAAAGAGAGAAACATTTTAACAGCCTTTTTGGATCATAGTAGGTATTTTTCTTTGATGCTTCAACAATACAGGACAAGTGGCTGTTTCTTAGAGATTAACTGCTGTGTGCAAACTGGAACCACATCAATGAATTTTTCTACTCTGCTGCATTAAAATCCATAGGTCTATCTATCCGCAAGTGGATTTTTTTTTAAACCTATGCTTGATTTGTAACATCCCGTACTAGTCATTTAGAAAATACCAATAAAACTGGAATTTTTATAAAATAACTTACAACATGGAAAATAACTTACAGAGGTTTGTAAAATTATTTTCAGCCACAGTTTGTGACTCTGCTTTGATGTGTGCTAAGATGCCAATGGTTTCTTCCACCATTGTCTTTGCACCATTAGAGCAAATGGCTGTGTGTACTAAGTCACTTCAGTCATGTCCAACTCTGTGTGACGCCATGGCCTGTAGCCCTCTAGGCTCCTCTGTCCATGGGACTCTCCAGGCAAGGATACTGGAGTGGGTTGCCATGCCCTCCTTCAGGGGATCTTCCTGACCCAGGGATGGAACTGGTGTCTCTTATGTCTAACCTGCATTGGCAGGCAGGTTGTTTTTTTGTTTTTTTGTTTTTTTTTTACCACTAGCGCCACCTGGGAAGCCCAGTAAATGGGAGCACAGGGAAAAGGGCAAATAGTGCCTCTGTATCTTTATTATTTTATTGTAATTTTTAGAAACTTCCCTGACCAGGGATCGAACCCATGCCCCCTGAAGTGACAACGTGGAGTCTTAACACTGGACCACCAGGAAAGTCCATCTCTGTATTATCAAGAATATTGTTTTGACCTATTAGAACCTTTGAAAGGGTTTGGAGGACACCCCAGCTGTCCATGGACCACATTTTGAGAACAGTTGTTACAGACGAATAAAAGGATGTTCTTGGGAACTCAGGGGAGGCAATTCAAGTGCAGAAACCTACTCAAACTGGGGAGAGAACTCAGAGGTAGATTTTTTTTTCCCCTGCAGTTAAACCTGGAACCCCAGTTCTTCATCTGAAACCTGGATCTCAGGTGAAGTTCCTGCAGTCCCCACTTTCTAGACTGGATCCTGCTCCCTGACCCCACTTGCTGGGAATGATGAATTTGAAACAGTGGTCCTGCTGTGTACCTCGTCCTGCAGCTACACTCCTGCCCACCCATAGGACCGCTGATGCTGGTGCCAGGCTGGCAGATGGGAGTCGCTGTGCGATGCTGCCTTAGGTCAGGGCCCCGCTGTGGGGTCAATTCTATTAGCTTAGTTCCTGCAGGAGCAAACTTTGTATGGGCTTAATGCCTGGGCCTGAGAAAAATGCTCACAGAGAATGGACCTGCGCGCCATCCAGTCTTTGAGTGACCCTCAGAAGAACTAACTGTTTTGCATCAATTGTTGGTCCTTGATTGATAGGCTGGCAGGTAGCCAGGGGAGTCCTCCACAGTCAGGAAGAGGAATAGATCTAAGAAGCTGTATCTCTGTCTATAAGTTTGTTAAGTGGTAATGTATATGTCCATCTCCATCAATGTCTGTATCCTTTACCATTAAAATAAGCCTTATACTCTCAAAGTTTTGGCCAATCGCATCACTGTTCTGTGTGTCATCCATACAGTTTTAAAAACCCGGTCTCATTCCTTCTCTCCCCCAGTGGGTCCCCACTAAATCCTCAGGTTGCTGAGGTGGTGCCAACCACTATGATGGCTAGCACCCAGGCTGCCCCTAAAGTTCGTCTTATTCATGACAGTACAGGGCCACAGGTCATGAATATGGATTCATGACCCACAGCATCACACCACTCTGTCCCCACAGCTCTTGGGAACACAGGATCCCTGCACCCATGGAAAAGGCCACTGTGCAAGGGGAGGAGCTACTGGGGCCATTGGTCACCCTCTCCTTGGGCATCTGCCCCGGGGCAGAAGTCCTGGAGCCTAGAGAGCAAATGGGTGCTTCTGTGCTAGCTGAGAAGTGACTCTCTCCCTGGGAAGGCTTTGCACTTCCTGCTGACAGCCCTTGTCACTCCGTATTGCAATTTTTTTTCCCCCTCGCAATTGCTTAATTATCCTTATTCCCCAGTAAACTGTGAGCCCTATGAAGTCAGACACTATGTGAATCTCTTTCACCAGTATCTCTCCATTGATAAGGTTCACAGCGCAGTGCATGCTATCTGTGCGTGCTAAGTCGCTTCAGTCATGTTGGACTCTTTGTGACCCCATTCTGTAGCCCAGAAGGCTCTGTCCTGTGATTCTCCAGGCAAGAATACTGGACTGGGTTACTATGCCCTCCTCCAGGGGATCTTCCTAATCTAGGGATCAAACCCGCTTCTCTAACGTCTCGTGCATTGGCAGGCAAGTTCTTTACCACTAGCATATCTAGCAGGCACTACTGAGAGTTTGTTGGATTAATGAATGAAGGTCAAGAATACATCCTCAAGAGTCCTGCGTGGCTGCTGGAATCCCAGCACTCTTGCTTCTGGAGTTGCCTCTAAAGAGCCTGGCTTACAGCTTTAGGAAGGGTCCAAAGTCCAGCATTTCGGTCACTGGAAATTCCCCATAACCATTATTGATGCGATTCCAGGAGACACAGGAAGAACTGCATCTTTCAGTTTCTATATAAAGATACTAAAGTTTCCCCCATGATTTAACTCAATACAGGATGGCTTAGCCATGAAGACATCTTAAGACGTCTGTATCCAAGATGCAAAGATAAGGGAGCAATTCTGGTTTTGTGGGCTCATGATACAATCAGGTCAGCTAATGGAAAACAAATCCATGTATTTCAGGAAGAGATAAGCAGCAACATTGTCTTCAAGCACTTCAATGACAGGAACAGGGGAAATAGTAATTCCACCTGCTAAGTGGAATGAGAAAAAAGAGGCTCTTGGCATATTATTTAATTGCCCTGCAAGATGGTTTCTTTTAAAAACACCACGGGATGTTACATGGTTTTGGTTTTATTGTTAATAAAATCCATCACAGTAATGGGCTTCCCTGGTGGTTCAAACGGTAAAGAATCTGCCTGTAATGTGGGAGACCTGGGTTCAATCCCTGGGTTGGGAAGATCCCCTGGAGCAGGAAATGGCAACCCACTCCAGTATTCCTGCCTGGAGAATTCCATGGACAGAGGAGCCTGGAGGGCTACAGTTCATAGGATTTCAAAGAGTTGGACACGACTGAGCAACTAACACACAACACAGCAACAGATGCTTATTAAATTCAAGCAGTATATAAGTATAAAGTGAAAACTGCTTTTATATCCTCCCCTGTTAATAAGCACCCATCCTACTTTCTCCTTCCAAAGTCAGTAGTTTAGTTGTTTTCTCCAGACCTTTTCCAGGCTACCATTCTGCCCCCAGTCTCTGTATCTGACTGCTTAGGCAGCTGTTGAGTAGGAGGGAATACAATGATAAACTTTTTTCCCCCCGCCACGGTTACTATGCATCCTCCCACCTCCAAGTTTGACTTAATAGAAAACTAAAATTATTTGGGGGCTATAAAAATATGGGTTGATTTTGCTCAACTATATGTCAATAAAAAAATCTGGGTTGGCTTTATAGCTGTGGTCAAAGTCCTGTTAACAATATAAAAGCAACATTTTCCCCTTGACGTAACCAAATAGAGCACGGGCAATTCTCAAGATATGAGTATCCAACTCATAGAGGACGATTATTAAACTACCAGAATTTTGACATTTTCAGGACACTTTTCTGATGATAGAACACATAACCTTACTCCCCCCCACCACTGCCCCCTACCTCCTGCCCCACTGTTACTTAAAAATCACTGATGATATAGGGGTTTTAGACCTCTGGGTTCAAAGGTCTTCCCCAGTGGCTCAGATGGTAAAGAATCTGCCTGCAGTGAGGGAGACCTGGGTTCGATCCCTGGGTTGGAAAGATACCCAGGAGGAGGGCATGGCAGCTCACTCTAGTATTCTTGCCTGGAGAATTCCATGAACATAGGAGCCTGGCAGGCTACAGTCATGGGGTCATATAGAGTTGGACACGACTGAAGTGACTGAGCACGCATGCCTGCTGGGTTCAAATATACTGCTCACTCATAACCTATAATGAGAACATTTTATGTTCCTACTATGCCCAAGAGAATTCCCTGGTAGTTTAGTCGGTAAAGAATTTGCCTGCAGTGCAGGAGACCTGGGTTCTATCCCTGTGTTGGGAAGATCCCCTGGAGGAGGAAATGGCAACCCACTCCAATATTCTTGCATGGAGAATCCCATAGAGAGAGGGGCCTGGTGGGCTACAGTTCATGGGGTCGCAAGAGTCAGACATGACTTAGCAACTAAACCAACCACCACTATGCCCAAGGATGAAGTTAGTGACTGGAGACAGAGAGATGCTGTCTTGGCTTCTGCAGATGTGATCTTATCTCTTTTCACAGGTGCCCAACGGAGGCAAAAGATGACTAAGACGGTACCTTGTTTCTCAGGGCTGGGTCCGCCCCTGCTTCCAGGAGCAGGGCGACTGTTTTAATATTCCCGCTGAGCACCGCCGCGTGGAGCGCCGAGGTCCCATTCTAGGAGAAAAGGACAGCGTGTGTCAGGTGACAGCTCACAGCTGTCCGCACTCAGCTTGGCTTTCCTCATGAACCAGCCTGACTGGGGATACTGTAATGCTAGAGCCTTTCTCGTCCTTATCTTCCTTTTTCAAAGTCACTCACTTCAGCGTCTAATACAGTGTCCTCAGGGACACTGCAGACAGTCAGTATAAATACTGCCAACATCCTTTTGCAAGTACAATAAGGGATCTGCCCAGTGTGTCCATGACTTCATGCTCACTTGGTCCGTTGTGGATGCATTACAACTTGCTATGGGAAAAACAACAACGCTCCATCAAACTTTTTTTTTTCTTAAGAGTCTTTGTGCTTTATGTGAACACACTTCTGCGAGGCTGGAGGTATAGCTTGCTCACCTACGGGCCAACTTGTCAGCCCAGCTGCTCTCACCCCACAAGCACAGGGGGGGCAGGACAACGATGATGGAACCACAGGGCTTAAGAGTAAGAGCAGGTGGGGTTGAGGACCACTCCCTGCCTTCAGCTCCGAGCTGAAGCATCTCTGGGTACAGAGGGGACCTAGTGAATAGTTTGCTGACATTTTATGACATTTACTGCAAACATTTGACATAAGGAAGCAGCTCTGCGCAGCATGTAGCTGGATTCTGGGAGGGGAGAAAAGAATATAACAAACCTGATAGAAGAACAATGGACAATTATAAAATATCTGTTCTAGAAGGTACATATATCTGTGAACAGCACCTAAATACAAGCTTAGTTTTCAAATTAATCATTGTATATAGATATTGGGTTGGTCAAAACATTCCTTTGGTTTTTTTCTGTAAGATGGTTCTAGTAGCGCTCAGTTGCCTTTAACTCCATTCTAAACAATTTTGTTAGATTACATTCTGACAGCTGTTGTATCAGTGTTGTATCATTAAAAAGAAAAACTTGCTAAAATTGGTGAATTTTTGTGTAGCCACTTTAATATTGAAGATGGAAGGAAACACATGTTATAATATTAATAAAATATTAATATTATACTTTATTACTGTATATGTACACATAAAACTTTCTGATTTTGTAGACAAGTTAAATGAATATCATACCCAGAGAAAAATTCCGGCAAGGCAGCGGTTTTCCATGTCTGCTGTACCATGATTACAATGCATGGCAATACGTTAAGCTGATAATATGACATTCACTTAAATCTTAACCAATCTATCAACATTCCCTATGCGCAACATGGCTAAGAATCAAAAAAGCGAAGAAAGAGGTGTCTGAAACAAGATTATGTATCACAAAGACCATTTCTGCAGCTTGTTTCTTTTATTCACAGAGAATTCACTTTCACAGCCTATTTATTCTTAGTTTCCAAACAGTTTTTACAAAGTATAGTTTTTTGACTTCCAAGCTCATAGGAGATCAGAATTAGCTCCTTGGGGTGAGAGAGGCCAGCACTGAAAAGAAAAGCTCTTTATCAGCTGAAATCAACCTTGGAGCCTGAACATATAAGGTCAGACACAAGGCATCCAAAAAGCCTCTGGGGTCATCTAAGGCCAAGTACTTCAGATACATCAATAAATCCTCAAAGTGCTAAATGACTGTCCTTCGTTTACAACAGGTTCTGGTGTCATCCTTCTAACAAAACAGGAGCGTGTACACCAGGAATCAGCAAACCACAGCACTCAGGCCAAATTTAGTCTCTTTCACTGGCGTCCCACCCCCCACGCCCACCTGTTTTTCTACATCTTGATTAGCCCAGAATTTAAAAAATTTTAAAAAGAAGACTTTTTTGTGACATGTGAAAACATGGAAGTTCAGAAATATAGGACTTCCCTGGTGGTCTAGTGGTTAAGAATCTGCCGGCCAATGCAGGGGACACGGGTTCGATCCCTGGTCTGGGAAGATTCCACCTGCTGCAGAGCAACTAAGCTTATGCACCACAGCTGCTGGGCCTGTGCTCTGGAGCCTGGGAGCCACGATTTTTGAGCCCAGGTGCCCACAGCCCGTGCTCCCCAGCAAGAGAAGCCACTGCAAGAAGCATGTGCACCACAACTAGAGAAACACCACACACAGCAACAAAGACCCAACACAGCCAGAAATAAATAACCTAAATAAATAATTTAAAAAAAAATATAATATCCAGCAGTGAAGTCTGATAAGATGCAGCAACACTTTTTGCTGTTGTTGCATTTTCTATGGTTGCTTGCTCTGTATGACCACTGAGTGAAGCCATTCCAACACAGACTGTACAGCCCACCAAGCCTAACATATTTGCCATCTGGTCCCTTATTGAAAAAGGCTGCCAATCTCTGGTAGATCCTCCAGTTTAGAAATATTTTAACTCAAAATGATTACAACTTAATAAAGGATTTTGAGGGCTCTGTTTTCTGGAAGACCCAGCCCTCCAGGATGACACGGTCTCTGAGGTGTGCAGATGCTTGAAGCTTATTTCATTCGACCTAAGCTAACAGTGTGGTTCTTTGATCCAGGCGATGAAGAGAAAAAAATGTACCTGTTCTTCATGTTTTCTGGGATACAAATCATGTCATGATTTGTGGAGGACTTCACCAATCTTCCAATGATATATTAATATTAATATGGTTGACTCTCTGATTTAACATTTCATTACTGTTGTCTGATTTTTTCCCCCTAGAAAACTAGTTACCTATAGACTCTGGTTCACCCTTTTTATTACCTTTCCATTTCTACCAGTGCCCAGGAATCTCCAAAATTAAGAAACTGTAGGTATGTTCTGTAGTGGCCACAGGACTGGAAAAGGTCAGTTTTCATTCCAACCCCAAAGAAAGGCAATGCCAAAGAATGCTCAAACTACCGCACAACTGCACTCATCTCACACGCTAGTAAAGTGATGCTCAAACTTCTCCAAGCCAGGCTTCAGCAATACATGAACCGTGAACATCCAGATGTTCAAGCTGGCTTTAGAAAATACAGAGGAACCAGAGATCAAATTGTCAACATCCTCTGGATCACTGAAAAAGCAAGACAGTTTCAGAAAAACATCTATTTCTGCTTTATTGACTATGCCAAAGCCTTTGACTGTGTGGATCACAATAAACTGTGGAAAATTCTGAAAGAGATGGGAATACCAGACCACTTGACCTGCCTCTTGAGAAACCTGTATGCAGGTCAGGAAGCAACAGTTAGAACTGGACATGGAACAACAGACTGGTTCCAAATAGGAAAAGGAGTACGTCAAGGCTGTATATTGTCACCCTGCTTATTTAACTTAAATGCAGAGTACATCATGAGAAATGCTGGGCTGGAGGAAGCACAAGTTGGAATCAAGATTGCCAGGAGAAATACCAATAACCTTAGATATGGAGATGACACCACCCTTATGGCAGAAAGTGAGGAAGAACTAAAGAGCCTCTTGATGAAAGTGAAAGAGGAGAGTGAAAAAGTTGGCTTAAAGCTCAACATTCAGAAAACCAAGATCATGGCATCTGGTCCCATCACTTAATGGCAAATAGGTGGGGAAACAGTGGACACAGTGGCTGACTTTATTTTTTTGGGCTCCAAAATCACTGCAGATGGTGATTGCAGCCGTGAAATTAAGACACTTGCTCCTTGGAAGGAAAGTTATGACCAACCTTGACAGCAGATTAAAAAGCAGAGATATTACTTTGTCAACAAAGGTCCATCTAGTCAAGGCTATGGTTTTTCCAGTGGTCATGGATGGATGTGAGAGTTGTACTATAAAGAAAGCTGAGCGCCGAAGAATTGATACTTCTCAACTGTGGTGTTGGAGAAGACTCTTGAGAGTCCCTTGGACTGCAAGGAGATCCAACCAGTCCATCCTAAAGGAGATCAGTCCTGGGTGTTCCTTGGAAGGACTAATGTTGAAGCTGAAACTCCAATACTTTGACCACCTGATGAGAAGAGCTGAAAAGACCCTGATGCTGGGAAAGATTGAGGGCAGGAGAAGGGGATGACAGAGGATGAGATGGTTGGATGGCTTCACTGACTCAATGGACATGGGTTTGGGTGGGCTCCAGGAGTTGGTGATGGATAAGGAGGCCTGGCGTGCTGCATTTCATGAGGTCGCAAAGAGTTGGACATGACTGAGTGACTGAACTGAACTGAGGCATGTTCTCTCAAGAATACAACTAACCAAGGAAATGGTACCTGGATTCTACTGCAGTCCCCATTGCAGACTTATCAAATTTCTAACCTCTCTCTTTTACAATTTGGTAAAATTTCTCTGCAGGTCTTACCTTCAAAATACCGAGGGTGGGTGAGAATTTCAGCAGCTCCTTTATAACATCATTATACCCTTTGTTGGCTGCTTTCAATAAAGCTGTTGTACCATCCTTTACAGAGAAAGGAAAAGAAAAGTTGATTATTAACATGTGTGTGTGTTGGCCAAGAATGAAATGTTTGTTGAGAACTGGGGACATGCTTGTCAGAAACAGGCAAAATATGTAAACTAAAGCACAGGGCTGCCATGTCTTTTAAACTAAAATCATTTTAGAGCATATTAAACAGTTAACTCTGCATGTAAAACACCAGACAAAGTATGTGACTTATTCTGTTATCTTAGAACCCTGCCGTTTGGGAATTCAAGGTCTTCTAGTCCCTTAGAATATTGGGGAATTTCAGGAGGATATTTTTAGAACATAGATGGACTAAAGAGGCATTCTTTGCAGTTCACGACTTAGAAATTAATTGGTTGAACTGCTTTTTAAAAGTTTTAAAGTTTTTAATTTTTAATGACTGTTGAACTGTATCTACGGTTTTGAAATTTTAAATGTGCTTTTCTTTTTGTTTTTCCGTGTATACCCTCTTGCCCTAGTCTGCCCCGGGTGCGTGGGTACTGTGGGGAGAACAGGAAAGGGGCAGACTGAAATCTGCAGGAAAGAATGCAGAGACAAGTTCAAAAATTAATATTCAGTTTCTGTTGTCCTTTTCTGGCCTGAGAAGAGATTTTCCAATTCCCCCTTTCTCCTGCTGGAACACATCAATTGCTGTATTCGGACGATCTCGCTCACAGACTTGTGTAGTAAAGAAATCACCCTTGTGGTGCAGCTCTCTACAGCCTGGGGAGCCTGGGGACCGCGGGGACCCCAAACCACTGACCCCGCGAGCCAGCTGCACTGCGACCCAGAGGCCAGCAGAAGGCGCAGCGCCAGGCGGATCAGCAGCCAATGGGGACACATCCCCAAGGACCGCCGAGGTCCGGGTCTCCTACCTCCCCCATCCTCACGGGTCATCCAGAGGCTAGCTCTGGTTGGAGGAATATTCTTGAGGAATCCAACATTTTCCCCTTAAAGACCAAGCAGCAGTTGCTAGGTTTCAGTGCATTCAGACCTTTCCCTGGGGTTTCTGATAAAGAGCAGGAGGAGGTTGGGAGGAAACCCTGGTGAATTAGAGACAAAATGAAGCTGCGTCTTTCTTCTCTGCAAGTCTGGGCTCGGAGGTCAACGCTTCGATGGGAGGCCTCCCCACCCTTCCCGCGCGGTGGTCCCCGCACTCACGTGGCGGGCGGCATCGCGCTCGGCCCCGCGCAGCAACATCACCCGCACCACCTCGCTGTGGCCCATCTGCGAGGCGATCCACAGCGGTGCTGTCCCGTCCTGCGGGGAGAGGACACGGGGCCGGGGGTGGGGTTGGGGGCGGAAAGTGGTTAGGGCCCAGACACACACAACGAGGGCGATTCTACCCACCGTCTGAGTGTCAGAAAGCTAAAGACGTTGCTCCCACTCTTTTTCTGTGTTTGCAATCCTCCACCATCACCTCGTTTCCAGGGACTATAATTTTATGCAGGATGTGATGCTGTGTCTTCTGGGGGTTGCTGCAACACTGCCCAGCTACAGCGGAGTGATGGTTTTGGTAACACTTCCTGAGTGTTATTTTTCCTGTGATTATTCTTTTTCCTGTGAACCCTGGGGTCATGAAACTGAGGTGTGTTGCTCCAGAGAAGGAAAAGTGAAACATCAAAGAGACAGAGAATTATTTGACAGGAAAGAGGGTGGTTCCTGCTGGTCAGAAAGGAAACTAGAAAACCCTTGATAGTGCCAGGAAGGACTCACTGGAGAGGGAGCCGGGAGGCGGGGTCACAAATGTCTGTGTTTTCCGCCAGCTCTGGGTTGAATCTGGGTTGGTAAGTTCGGGTACCAGAAACACTCAGATCAATTATGGTGAATTCCAGATGGGAAAGGACTTTCTCCTGTTCTTGAGATGAAACCCGGGAACACTGCACGCCCTTAGAGGAGCTCTGCGCTTGGCTGGTGCCTCATGGGTAGAAGAGAAATGGTTGTGGGAGCCGTCTAGACCAATGCTGGACGTGGTCCCCAATACCCCTGGTCACATCCACCCAGGAGTCCCTGCCTGCCTGCGGGACATCAGAAGTGCTGGCTGAACAGTTGCCCGGAGTGAGCCTGGGTCGGGGAGACAAGGCTACAGAATGTCCAGAGCATAGGTGATGGCAGGACCTGTGTCTGGTAGACCAGTTGCCCCTTCAGGGGACCAGTGCAAGAGGCCTAAAGGCCAGGGAGCTGGACAGGCCAGTGGAGGAAGCAGACAGGAGTATTTTTACCCCCACCCCAATGCCACAGTGATACTGTGACCTCTGAGAACCTGGGTCACTTGGAGAGACGGGCAGGAGGAGGGAGAACCCAGAACTGACCAACCTTAACCTCAGATGTAATTAAGGTAATGGAACCCAAAGAGATGGCTTTAGTCAGATGAGACTAAATTACTCATCAGTAGGGCTGCGGGCTGAAGAGCAAGATGAATCGGGTACAGAGTCTAAAGTTTCACTTTCCATTGGAGGACATCATTTCAACTCCAGGGTACCACCTTCAGCAGCCAGAAGGTCACTGCCCACTGATGTCCTGAAATGGACAAAGGACCAAGGCCTTTGAGCAGGGTGGTGGGTGATGGCAAACCAGGAGCCTAGAAGGATCTGGTAGTGCTGAGGGGGGGGGTCAGAGGACACTGACACCACTGTCTTGGGGGAGATACAGGGAAGGGGTGCTGGAACAAAGGATGGAAGAAGGCTGGAGACACCTTGACCTACTTCATGCTCTACAAGGCCCTCTCAGACATATCCCTGAACCTGAATATTCTTTAAGATTTTTTTTTTTTTAATATGGGCCACGGGCTTCCTCGTGGCTCAGTGGGTAAAGAATCTGCCTGCAATGCAAGACACTACCTGCAGTGCAGGAGATTCAGGTTCCATCCCTGGGTTGGGAAGATCCCCTGGAGAAGGAAATGGCAATGCACCCCAGGAAAATACCACGGACAGAGGAGCTGGTGGGCTATAGTCCATGGGGTTGCAAGAGTAGGACAAAACCTAGTGACTAAACCACCACTATTTTTAAAGTCTTTATTGAATTTGTTAACAATATTGTTTCTGTTTTCTGTTTTTGTTTTTTGACCATGAGGCCTGTGGAATCTTAGCTCCCCAACCAGGGATTGAACCCATACCCCTTGTATTGGAAGACAAAGTTCTAACCACTGGACCATCAGGAACATCACTGTATATTCTTTATCATTAGCAATATAAATAATACCTTCATCTGTGCTTTGAGTTTACAAAGCACTTCTGCACTCATTGTTTAGTTTGATTCTCCCAATTCAGGATTCAACCAATCTTTTGTTTGCTCATTCAAACACCCAACAATTATTAAGCATCTTCTAAGTCTCGGGAAAGTAAAAAGAAAGTGAAGTCGCTCAGTTGTGTCCGACTCTTTGCGACCCCATGGACTGTAGCCCAGGCTCCTCCATCCATGGAATTTTCCAGGCAAGAGTACTGCAGTGGGTTGCCATTTTCTTCTCCAGGGGATCTTCCCAACCCAGGGATCGAACCCAGCTCTCCCGCACTGCAGGCAGACGCTTTAACATCTGTGCCACCAGGGAAGCCCAAAGTCTCGGAAGGAGTACTAAAAACAAGATCTGGTCTCAGTTCTCAAAGGAATGCAGCCTAGTGGAGAAGCTGCTGCTGCTAAGTCGCTTCAGTCATGTCCGACTCTGTGCGACCCCATAGACAGCAGCCCACCAGGCTCCCCCATCTCTGGGATTCTCCAGGCAAGAACACTGGAGTGGGTTGCCACTTTCTTCTTGAGTGCAGAAGAGACATGGAAATATCAGTATGATTGCAGTGCCACAATAAAGTACAGACAAAATGCCCAGGATGAACCTGGAGAGGGACCCTCTTACTGTGTGGGGGTGACAGGATCAGCTTCTCAGAAGGGTTGGTATGAGCTGGGTCTCCAGGGAGGGCTAGAATTTTGCCAGGTGGGGAGAGAGGGAAAATGGTCTTCTACGTAGAAGGAAGAACATTTACAGTCACAGTGGCGTGGATAGGCATGGCTGGCTCAGGCTGGGTGGGAAAGTCAGTTGGCTGCAGCCCAAGGGATATGGGTGGGGCCCCAGGAGACAGGACAGAGAGTCTGGGCTCCACAAAAGATTTCCCCAGGTGCTAATGCACTTTCCCCTCCAGCCAGCTCTGGGTTCATCTGCTTTTTGTCATTACGGCCACCAGAGGGCAGGCAAGGAAAGAAAGCCAGCACGCTGTTCCCTGTGCTTTCCAAGGGCTTAGCTGTTTTTAGTTAAATTCTGTTAATGACATGGGGCTTCCCTGGTGGCTCAGAAAGTTAAGAATCAGCCTGCAATGCAGGAGATCCAGGTTCAGTCCCTGGGTCTGGAAGATCCCCTCCTGGAGGAGGGCATGGGAACCTACTCCAGTACTCTTGCCTGGAGCATCCCATGGACAGAGAGGAGCCTGGTGAACTACAGTTCATAGGGTCGCAAAGAGTCAGATTCAACTGAAGCAACTTAGCATACACACATTAATTGATACTAATACCTGGAAAAGGGCTGAGAGGTGCTTTATTAGCAAAAACTATGAATATTGTAACAGTGATGCTAACACTCAAATGTTGCCACCTTAATTGCAATAGTCATGGTAGGTGGAAAAAGAAGTCACCGCCTCCTGGTTGAGAGAACTTAGACAAATTCCTCTGAGCCTCGGTGTCAGCCTTCTGCTAAAACATTAGCTTCAGAGATATTTGTGAAGGAGAAACCATACAGAAATGTGCTCAGCACAAGGAGTGGCCAACAGATGCTTAGAAAATGGTAACCAGACCTGAATATTATTTATCATGAAAAACAGCAAGTTATTTTGAACTTTTGTTTACAAAGCATTCCAAGTACTTTAAGTCGATTCTCCTAGTTACCCTAAGAGAAAACTGACTGAGCAGGTAAGACTGATTGAGAAAATGAGATTTGGGGGAAATCTGTGTATTTCCTTACTGGTGCTTACTTCTCCAAAGCTGATTTTTATTTTTGCCTTTTTTTAAAAAATTAATTTTTATTGATGTATAGTTGCTTTACAATGTTGTGTTAGTTTCTACCCTACAGCAAAGTGAATCAGCTATACTATACATATATGCCCTTTCTTGGATTTCCTTCCCACTTATGTTACCACCAAAGGTGACTTTTGAACCCAGGAAGCTGAATGTGAGTTAGAGCATTACTGTCAGATCCAGTTATTTAACAGCTGATTATCTAGTCTGTGAAGAGGACAGGTTTTCCTCTTCTCTACACCACAAATTTTGCTTTTTCATATATTTTCCTTCTATTTGAATCTTCATTGTGACAATGACTTTGTAATAAAACTGATGGCAATCAGGTCAATTTAGGGCCTTTTATAGAGTTTTGGGGAGAAAAGGAGTAGGAAAAACATCTGAAAATATTTATATATGTTTTAAATTACTTCTTGACAAAAACATACAGTCAAAGTATATTAAATCAAAGAAACTGTCATGAAGCAGAAGTTAAAACCTCACCGGCACTAAAAAAAGAAACAGAATATTTAGCTTGAAGATGGGATTCATGGGAGTCATGACAGCTGTCATTTACTATTTGTGCATGTCAAGTAGAAAACAGTTTAGACTTATTTTGCATACCAAATGATACACTGGCTCAGTGCAAAAAAGGAATGATAAGGTGGGCTGGTTAAAGATTAAATAAGCTGATGAAGTAGTAATGAGATCCCCATGCCTGGAGGGGTTTGACAGTGGCTGATCACCAAACAGTTTCTATACCCGATTTATGGTTAAATAGGGGATTTTTGCAGTTCCTTCCAGCTCTGTCATTCCCTCATTCCATTTCAGATAATATTTTCAAGTCTCCTCTATTTTTATACAGAGGTCACAGCATGAGATGGGAGTATATGACATGACTTGTATTAGAGACTAAATTCTATTCGGCCTTTTTTAGGCTCCTAAAGATGATTTAGAAAAAATAGTTAAAACCATTCTTTCCCATGTGCATACGTGTGTGCTCAGTTGTGTCCGATTCTTTGTGACCCCATGGACTATAGCCTGCCAGGCTCCTCTGTCCATGGGACTTTTCCAGCAAGAATATAAGAGTGGGTTGCCATGCCCTCCTCCAGGGGATCTTCCCAACCCAGGGATCAAACCTGCCTCTCTTGCACTGGCAGGTGGATTCTTTACCACTGAGCCATGCAGGAACACATGGCAATAAGTATATTAAGTGGCACTAGCTCTTTGCTTCTACTGCTTTCTAGCACCTACACTTAGGCTACTTCACTTGCAGGCTCCAGCCAGACAAGAAAGTGCTGAAGACCAATTCTGTCCTAAATTGGGGGAGATTAAGGGCTTCGCAGGTGGCGCTAGTGGTAAAGTACCCACCTGCCAATGCAGGAGATGTAAGAGATGCGAATTCGATTCCTGGGTCTGGAAGATCCCCTGGAGGAGGGCAGGGCAACCCACTCCAGTATTCTTGCCCGGAGAATCCCATTACAGAAGAGCCTGGCAGGCTCTAGGCCATAGGATAGCAAAGAGTCGGATACAACTAAGCAACTTAGCATGCACGCATGCAAGAGATTACAAGGAACCTCATCGGTAACACTGGGGTGTTCAATATGAAGACAACTTTGCTACCAGCCCTGGAGCCCTGACCTGGAGCCCATTTCTCAGTACTGTGTCCTTCTATTCTGTGTCCTTGGTCCAGCAAACAAGTCTGTAGAAGATGCTACCTGATGCTTGCATTGTCCACACTGTGACCCATTCTCCTAGTCACAGGTGATCAGACCAAGGATGGGCAGGCCAGCCATGGCCTGGGGAGCAGGGATGAGCTTCAATGACATGGCTACCCCAAGAGTTTGGGAATCTGACCTGGAAACTTGGGGACCATATACAAGATAAGTGGACAGAGGAAGCCAATCAAAATAAAAAGGAGTGGGGAGCGAGAGAGAGAGAGAGAGGCAAGAAAGGACTTTGAGATGACAGACACTGCTTGACTTATGAGAGAAAAAAAGCAGCCTTGATTTCTGATGGGTTTTCTGTTCCAGGGAGGCAGGAAGGCCTGGATGGACTAGGAAGGAAAACAGCAAAACCTAACATTCACTAAGCCCTTGGTATATACTGGCCACTGCAGGAAGTTTTACAGGGACTTTTTTTTAATGCTCACAGTACTCCCAAAGCGAAGATACCATTATGATCATGGTTTTACATGAGATTCAGGGAGAGTAAGCAAATTTGCTTGAGGTCATGCAGTTACTAAGAAAAACTGAAACCATGTTTCATTTCCTTGTCCATATTCCCATAACCACCAAGCTGCTCACTTTCCCCACCCCTGGTCCCAGCCCTGAGGTCTGGGTCTGGCTCTTAGAAAGCTCCTGGGACTGATGTCCTGCCCTGGAGCCTGGGCGCTACATCAGAGCCTTGTTCCAGTTCCCAGTCACTGATCACCATACACTGCAGCCTTCCAGGCCTCATGGGAACTCTGCCCACGCCATAGGCTGTCCTCTGGTGGTCAACACAGCTTTTCTGAGAACAGAGGACATGCAAGCAGGTGGGTCTCCCTATTGCTGTCTGCTCCCATCTCAGAGCCCTCAGGACACCATACCCATCTGATGACGCCACGTTGCCAAGTGCCCACCTCTGGGTTGCCCTCCAAGCTTACAACCCAGGAGAAAGAACCTGGGTCCAATCCAATCTGGGTCCCAGCATCTCTCTTGGATTGGATGCGTACAAGTCCAAAGCAAGGCTTCTGTTAGAGAAGGCACTTTATGAGATGACCTTTTGGTCAAGCTTCAAAGAAATGCTGATTAGCACATTAAGAGAACTAGATAGAGATGATTTGATGACAGGCCAACCTCATCTCCAGGTATAGAGCCCGACCTTCACCACTCCATAAAAGCATCATTTTAATAGGCTGTGTGAATTGAGATGGGAAAAATATTTTGGTAGGCATGCTAAGTCATTTCAGTTGTGTCCGACTGTTTGCAACCCCATGGTGTGCAGCCTGCCAGGCTCCTCTGTCCGTGGAATTTTCCAGGCAAGAATATTGGAGTGGGTAGCTATTCCCTTCTCCAGGGGATCTTCCAGACCCAGGGATGGAACTCATGTCTCCTGCATTGGCAGGCGAGTTCCTTACTGCTGGCACCACTTGAGAAACTCCTTGTTAGTGGAAAAACACACTAATTAGCCATCTCAGCTGATTAAAAACGTTTGAGTCATATCAACTCTACTTGGTAAGGATGCATAGACAGAACTGAAAATGAGGTTTTAAATGACAGTATGACAGTGTGACTCTGTGACTCTTGACCTCTTTATTGAGGACAACTTAAAAGGGAAATTTTTCAAGTTCTTTCTAGGGATTAAAAAATTAAAAAAAAAAAGAAGAAAAGAATTTAGTCTTTCCCGAACCTGCCTATGACTTGCTTTATGATTAATGACTCATTCTCACAAGAGTTATAAGAGTACTAAAAGGATTTTCAGTCAGTTCTTCAGTGATAGAATTACAAGGAAAAGTCTTGCCTACTACCATTTGGATTCCCTGCAGCTCAGATCAAATATTAGTTGAATAATTTCAGTGCAGCTCTGTTCACATCTTGGTATAGTGTATCATACAATGTCAGGACTCCATGGGATGGTGAAACAAAAATTAGAAATCAGATTTACTAAACTAGGCAAATATCCCTGTCCTTATTTTGTAAACTCAAGAATATTCAGACAATGATTCAATGTGTCAGCTGAGATTTCAGAATAAAATATTGCCTTCCAAATGTCCTATCTGTGTAAATGTCTACCATGTGCAGGCCATTTTAATGGAAACTTTCAGTTAGTTTTTCTTAACCTCTTCACGAAAGTGAAGTGAAAGTGTTAGTCCCTCAGTAATGTCCAACTCTTTGCAGCCCCATCGACTGTAGCCTGCCAAGCTCCTCTGTCCATGGTATTTCCCAAGCAAGAATACTGGAGTTGCCATCCCTTTTCCCGGGGATCTTCCCGACCCAGGGACTGAACCTGCATCTCCTTCACTACGAGTGCATTCCTTACCGTCTGAGCCACCTGGAAGCCCTAACCTCTTTATAACTTTCATCAAAGTCAGCTGAGGTTGATATTACTTTTTCTGTATTTCTGACACTTCTCGTTTCTTGAAATGGAATTAAATATGCAGAGTTTACTCTTTCAGAGAAGACAGAATTTGGACTAGTCTGACCTGGGTAGATAACCTTTAACTATAAGCTTGTGGAAAGGCAGTAAAAAGATTACCGTTTGAGGGTACAAGGGGGTTAGTGCACTCTGTGGAAAGGAAAAATTTCATCGCTTCCCACGGGCCCCTCACCGCCACGGTGATTCTCATTTTATAAAACACCTCTCCCTAAATAACAATCTTTTCAGAGCTGGATGCTCACAATTCCAAACAGCTACATTAGATGTAGTCGTTGGGAAGGCATGTCACTTGACCCTTGACCCAAGGGCGGGGTCCTCCCGTTCCCAGGCTGGGTCACGCACTTCGCCCAGGTTATCCTCATTCCTGAGGAATGAAAAACAGCAGCGGTGTGTTGTGGTTACCACGGCACTGCTGGGTTACTCTTTAACTTCCCGGTTTTCACATCATCACACAACTCATTTTACGTTTGTTGTTGTTGGTGTTTAGTCACTAAGTTGTGTCTGACTCTCTGTGACCCCATGGACTGTAGCTTACCAGGCTCCTCTGTCCATGGGATTCTCCAAGCAAGAACAGTGAGGCAGGTTGCCATTTCCTTCTCCAGGGGATCTTCCCGATCTAGGGATCGAACCCACGTCTCCTGGATTGGCAAGCGGTTTCCTTACCACTGAGCCACCAGGGAAGCCCCGAGGTTCCCACGGCTACTCACAGATGAGCAAACAGGCCTTCCCACATCAGGGCCACATCACGGCCACATCACGGTGGGAATCTGCCTGTGTGCGATTTCCTGGCAGGTCATCAGCTTGCCCTTTTCCCTAGAAAACTACCTTTAAAAGTAAGGTTACCTTAATCTGAAATGTTTCATTAAAAGCAAATGAATTAGTGAAGAAATAGTTCTGATAGAAGAGAGGCTAATTATAAAGCCTTACATTTGGATGGTTCTTAATCATTTATAAACGTGACCTTGTGCATGCATGCGTGCTAAGTTGCTTCAGTCATGTCCGACCCTGCGACCTTATGAACTGTAGCCCACCAGGCTCCTCTGTCCGTGGGGATTCTCCAGGTGAGAATAGTGGAGTGGGTTGTCATGCCCTCCTCCAGGGGATCTTCCCCACCCAGGGATCGAACCTGTGTCTGCTGCACTATAGGCAGATTCTTTACTGCTGAGCCACCAGGGAAGCCCTGGGTTACCTTGTGCTCCTTTCTTTACCTATCAGTTAATTGAGTCTCCAAAGAACATCTTGGCTTTTGGTACATGAAGTCTCAACAGCGCTGTAATGTGAGACGAAACTACAGAACCCACTAAGAACACCTCTGGCTCAGCACAAGAAGTGGTGGGGAAGAGATACGGCACCATAGCAGCGGAGGAGCTGAGCAAGGGCAAGTCTCCCTGACCTGCCTCTATTTACCTATGTCCCAGTCTAGCCTACTCTCCCGACCTCAGTGCAGACATCATTTATTTGAGCAGGAGGTGGCAGAGTATGTACTTGACCTCAGACACCAAATATATTGAAATGGTGATGTCAGCCTGATTTCACAGGCTTTCAGGTGAGCCCAAAGCAAAGAACAGGAGAGAAACCTTGATCAAGGATGAACTTTCATCCAGAGGCAAAAAGGCTTTGGAGACACCCAGATCTGACTGGCTATCGTAGGCAGGTGCTGCTGCAGACTGCAAGCCACCCTGCCCACCCCCCCACACGCATGGGCACGCACAAACATTACCTGCCTCGGCTGGTTGACTTTTGCGCCTGAAGATAACAATAATCGAATCACATCCAAGTAACCCCCTTGGGCTGCTAGGAAGAGTGCAGTGGCTCCATCCTGAAAGTTGGCAAATGTAAAGTGTTAAGAAATTATTTATTTTAAAAGAAATTCGATCTTATAATACTGATACATATGTTTAACACAAGTTTCCATTGCCACCCCTCCCTTCCCCCTTTTTACTATGCATGGTATTTCTTTCTTTGAAGACTAGCTCTAAAACATCACACTAAGTCAGGCTGAAAGGTAAAGCTGAAAACAGACAGCTGTATAAGGATGAGTTACAACATATGCAATGACTGTTCATGCTATAGAATCTTGGTCATAGAGTTTATGGTACATCTAGTTGCAAAACTCTGGTTTTCCAAAGAGTCATCATTTTTCTCTGTCCACACAGCTTTCTCATTAGCCGCCTTCTGCTTTTGTTGCGTGATCTCAGAGTCCACTCTCTCTTATTTAAGATTAAAAAAAATGCACACTTAACACAATTTTCCATTGCAATCCATTGGTCACTAAGAGCTAAGTTGTTCATTTAAAAAACAAAAACAAAGGGTTTCCCTGGTGGCTTAGTGGTAAAGAATTTGCCTGCCAACACAGGAGACAAAGGTTTGATTCCTGATTCGGGAAGATCCCACATGCCTCGGGGCAGCTAAGCCCGTGTGCCTCAACTACTGAGGCTGTGCTCTAGAAAGCACATTGAAACACGAAAAATCTAAATTTTTTTAGAACATTAAAACTCTAAAAAAACCACACACACTCACAAATGCATGTTAATTAAAAAACAAATAAACAACCAAATCCCCCAAATCTATTTTGTGTGCTTTTATGAGTCAGGTATGAACAGAATCCTTTTAATTTTTGTTTGTTGCTCTTCAGTCACTCAGTTGTGTCCGACTCTTTGCGACGCCATGGACTGTACCCCGCCAGGCTCCTTTGTCCATGAGATTATTGTGGCAAGAATACAGAAGTGGGTTGCCATTTCCTTCTCTGGGGGATTTTCCTGACCCAGGGATAGAACCCTCATCTTCTGCATTGGCTGGCATTCTTTACCACTGCGCCACCAGGGAAGCCCCATCCTTTTAATTAGATATTCCCTACTGCCTTCTCTTTTGTGTTTCCTTATCCATGTTCTCCAGACTTTCAGTTTCTCTGTGCTTTAAAACACAAGATGCTTTCAGAATACCCATTCTGGTAAGAATGTCCATGAACTTTCTCCCTGCCAGGCTGGCAGACTCCAACAATACCTATACACAAAACTAGGCAGTCCTGCATGAAAACCCAAAGTATCTGCTTGTTACCAAATTCTTTACTTCTCTTTTTAACTGGGTGTCTACACCTTCTGGGCTTTTTTTCCTTGAAGACGCACCATTGGTTAATTTCAGCAAGTACAACGGTCCATCCAGAGTATGCCTCCTGCCAGGTGCTCTCTCCACGCAGACAGCGCTCACAGGACAGAGCAAGCCTCATGACTTTCATATGCACAGTGGAAAACTAGTTCTCCCAGCTAATAACCACCCCTCCCGTCGGAACACTACCCACACACTCATAGCACCTTCCCTGCAAGTCCAACCAGGTAGAGGGTGCTGGCTTTCCACTGGGTGTCAGCAGAGCAGTGAGGCCCCCCCCAAGGCAATCATTAGGAAATTAATCAGCCTGGACAGATTTTAAAGCAGATGTTTGATACGGGGATACAATTTTCAGCTGTTCCTTACTGTGTTGCCACAGAAAGGCTTCTCTGACATAGTAGCGCTAACTCTTATGAATTTTCCAAAACGGATCTTCCCTGCATTCATTGGATTTTTTTTTTTAACCGTGCATTACACAGTTCTGTTTTTCTAGAAGCTTTCAGTAATCATTGATGTCACTTCCCTTGCCCTGTATTTCAACTGTTGTTAATGGAAACATTTATTTTGGACTGTTCAGGTAAGGGTAGAAGTCTAAACATAAAATGGAAGTTCTGGAGCATGGAATTTTTAGGCTACCCTATCACAGAAGAGTTTAGAAACTCTGCATTTCTAGGCTTCCCTGGTAGCTCAGGCGGTAAAGCGTCCTACCTACAGCGCGGGTAGACCTGGGTTCGATCCCTGGAGAAACTCTGCATTTCTAAAATTAAGTGCCGCCTCAATGAGCATTATGGAAGAATGTTACCCAATAGTTCAAATTCTATGCTGTGCTATGTACTAGATCGCTTCAGTCATGTCCGACTCTTTGTGACCTTATGAACTGTAGCCCGCAAAGCTCCTCTGTCCATGGGATTCTCCAGGCAAGAAAACTGGAGTAGGCGGCCGTGACCTCCTCTAGAGAATCTTCTCAACCCAGGGGTCATGAATTCTTTACCAGTGAGCCACTGGGGAAGCCTGGGTGGACTCAGGAAGTGAAATTTTTTAATACTCCCTGGGTGGTTCTCCTGTGCAGCCAGAGTTGAGAATCACTCCTTCAGACCACGGTCAAGTAGTTCAGTCATGGCACCAGGAATGCTATCGGCTCAAAGAGTGGGAGCAGGTTTTGAAGTGCCAAGGCTAAGGCTAATTCCTCTGCACTTCAAAGAGGCCTGTGCTCTGTCAGAGGTTCCGTGTAGACTCTGGAAAGAGTGTTCAAATGGAAAAGTTCACACCCACACATCTCATTACAGGGTTATGAAAGGCTAGTGCTCTTAAGCACAGGGTTCATGTCTGGTGGTACAATAGCCTCAAATATGGCTCCTAGATAAATGGAAGCAGGGATTCTTGCACTCCTCACCATGAGATTGTCCAGTCACTTCATCTCCCCATGTTTTACTTCTTCCTCCAAAACCAGAATAACATTTGCCATAAATTCTACAGAATTACAGCAACCAATAAGAGTACTTGGGCAATGTGCTAATTGCCAATTAGCTGCAAACAGACCCACATGGCAGTGGATAGAAACAGACCCATGCTGGCAGTAGATGCCTTTCAAGGTTAATGGCATGCACGTATTTCAGAGATCTTCCCCCATCCAGCCTCACTTCTCTTCCAAACAACTTGATTTTTCCTTTTTTGTGTGTGCTCTTCCTCCCAAAGAACTCTACAACAGGAGAGTTTATTTTGGTTTTCAGCAAGTCCATACACTGGGCTTGTTATAAAGAAATAGGTATCACATGATTTTTGAAGATCTTAGTTGTGTAGGTATGTGAAATACTTCATACGTGCGAGAGACTTAAAAGAGCAAAGATAAATAAAGATTATGTGATTTCTACACAGAAAAGGCTCATCCAGTTAACTCTTTTATTTCCTTGATGGCTCAGATGCCACTTTCGGCATCAGAATTTAGACTGTGATGCTGTATGTGCTGAGGCAATGAGCAAGTGTCCCCTGAAAGCCCCCTTGAAACACACTCACGTAGAGCTGGTCATGGATGTTGGCTCCATGCTTTAGCAGGGTCTCCACCACCTGCATGTGCCCGTACTGACTGGCGGCCAGCAGGGCAGTGCCTCCATCCTGTGGTCACACAAAGAATAAACGCATTAGAAATAGGGCAGGCACAGATCTTACCAGGCAGATGCTCTTCGCATGGTGAGAATTTTGGAAAAGCATTTCCCATACATAATAACAAACTAACTTTTCCTTTTTGATCTTTTTTACTTTTTTCTTTATAATCGTGACAGAGTTCATCTTTTGTTTTGTTTTTTCTGACTGCTCTAGGTCTTAGTTATGGCATGCAATATCTTTTTAGTGTGGCACTAGAACTCTTTTAGTTCCAGCATGTGGGATCTAGTTCCCTGACCAGGAATTGAACCTGGATTCCCTGCATTGGGAGTGTGGAGTCTTAGCCACTGGTCCACCAGGGAAATCCCTAGAGTTCGTCTTCAGGACATCACTATGTTGTATGCTCAGGTGACTTGCTTGAGATACATTACAGATATTTGACTAAGTTATTATAATTAATTTAGAAATTCCTCATGTCAAATGCAGAATCATCTCTTTGTCTCTCGATAAAGGAGACAAAGAACAGAAAGACTGTACCAACCAGGTGTGTCTTGTTATTACCAGAATGGTAACTAGCTTCTTCCTGTGGGTCTGCCCAGTTGTAGGCCTCCGAGATTAAGGTGTATTTAGGGAGTCGCTCTCTGGGCCCCTGGCTTCTTGGACGAGATCTACATGCATTTAGAGCAGGGATAACTATAGCATATTCCATATGCTTCTCATGCTCCTACTTTGCATTTTCCTTTGAACATATGCCAGTCTGTCCAAATCTCTTAAAACGCAGATGCTAGGACTCTCAACAGAGCACTGCAAAGTAGACGTGGTCTGACGGGACATTCCTTGGTTCCATCAACTCTTGCTGTTATCTCTGCACCTAAATTAGAATTCACTTTGACGCCAACCACACCACACTACTGACTCAGAGTCTGTGGTCAACTGAAGCCCTTAATGGTTTTTCTCAGGTGCTGGGCTGAGGTTTTTTCTTTCTTCATCTAGGATTGCTGTGCTGTTTGTTTGGCTCTATGAATGGGTATTTGGACATTTGAGCTAATTATAAATAATGGAAGAAAGTGGAATCTGGTTTTGAAATGCACATCATAAATAAGACAGCGTGGTTCCTAAATTTGGGCATAGAGTGTTTATTCAAAATGCCTACTCTTGAAGCCACACCCTCAGATTCAGTAGATCTGGAGTGAGGCCCAGATATAGGCTTTCGACCAGTCATGAGAGGTGACTGTGAGGTGCAGGTGCTGGAGGGGTGGGGGATCCCCTGGAGAAACACTGCTATAGCTGCAAGATGCTGGAGGATGCACTCGGCTGAGTAAGGTTTCAGCGAGGGACGGGCTATGTGGTGGGAAAGAGAGGCATTTTGAAGGGTAGGAAATGAAGGAGAGAGATTGGAAGGCTGAGGTCAGTGGAGATGGGCGTGGCGTGAGGTGGCTGGGCATCAAGAAATTGGTTAATAATAGCAGTGAGCACCAACATTTCCATGTTATGTTGTGTCAATCTGCCCAGTTCTTTGTCTGGGTTTAGAGAATAGATAAAACATGGTGATTGTTATAGAAGAGCTGATACCTTTTGTTTAGAAAAAACACATTTGGGGGGACATAGGGCTTCTCAGGTGGCACCAGTGGTAAAGAACCTGCCTGCCAATGAAGGAGACATAAGAGACGCAGGTTTGATCCCTGGGTTGGCCAGATCCCCTGGGGAATAAAATGGCAACCCACTCTAGTATTCTTGCCTGGCAAATCCCATGGACAGAGGTGCCTGGCGGGCTACAGTCCATGGGGTCGCAAAGAGTCAGACTCAACTGAAATGACTTAGCATGCACGCAAGTTTAATTACAATGAGAACAGTTGTTGACACAAAGTCAATTTTGGATGACAGGACTGTATTAAAACCCAAAGCTTCCCAACACTGTCTTCTTCCCAGAGAAAGCTCTTGGCCACCTGCAGCTGTCCCAATGGAAATATGTGGAGTTGCTCGCCCTGGGCCTGTGTTCCGTGGATTTCCAGGGTAGCACAGTCTGGCTCATGTACAAAGGCCAGCCCTAACTTGTTACCCAGGAAGAATGAAGCATCTGGTCACACACAGTCAATTGACTTAGTTGAGAGTTGAGCCTGAGATTTGTGTAACTTCCACTTTTTATTTTTATTTGTGTCACTTTTATAATTAAAAATTAAATGATAATTAACATAAAGAGTATGAACACATGTGTTTTGGATTACTGTATATTATACTCAGCATGTCTAGGGGCATGTACACAATCTGACTGTAGGTTTTAGAAAAGACAGAAACCCTTTCTGAAATTCAGTCTACTTCATAGTGTTTTAACAGGAAAAAAACCCCATTGGAAAATCCCTTGATATCAACATATCACACATAATGAATTAAGAAAACCTAAAAGTTTCCAACGAGGGCAAATTTTCAAGAATTTTTTATGACTGGGCTAGACAGAAGTTTTCAATTATAAAAATGTGACAGTTCAAATTCTTCAGCTACAAAATATTATCAAGAAAAATCATATTGTGGAGATAAATGGATCTTTCTGCAGCCTCAGTTTTCTTAGTCACATGTCAAATGTGAAGAATCAATGACTTCTTTAAGGAAGAACCATAATTCCTCGCCCATATGTTATATATCTCAGTGGCGACATCTCAGAAAGTAAACTGCCTGCCAAAGCCTCCTTAGAAATCTCTCAAGATTCACTAGGATTGGCTTAATATTTCCAGTAATTCATATCACAGCACTGGGATTAACCCTGAAGCAGAAAAAAGCAGAAGAGAACAGGAAAAGTCATAAAGCACCTACTACTGTATCCATTGTGATAACAAAATGTACTGTCCCAGAGTAGAAAGTTACCAATACAAGAAAGAAAGTAAGCTGCAAACCCTCCAACCCCACCCGCCCGCCAAATTCTCCAATTGTTAGCCCAAGGTAAAAAATGTCATGTTTTGAATTGAATTCCTAGGACTACCCCTGAATCATTACAACTTAACCTTGTGAAACCCAACTTCTTAGCTTGTAAATCTTGTAAATAGCATAGCAAACATTCATACTATAAATGAAGAGAAATGAATACTCATAACTGCTGAAATTCTTCAATAGGGTATAAAATCAAGAAAATTCTCTTACTTTGGTCCTAAATTCAGTGGATGCTCCAAATTCAAAGAGAAATCGCACGACATTATTATGTCCTTGTTGGGCAGCAAAGAAAAGGGCGGTTGTACCTGACTGAGAGAGAGAGAGAGAGAGGCTGGTTTTATAGATATTTGGTTACATTTCATTTGACTGATATGACTGCAAACAAAACAAAACAAAATCCTTACATATAAACCCCTAGCCTGAAGGGACTACATTTCAACAGACTATTCCTTGCTCAGGTTAAGTGACCAGGGTAGAGAATGCTGGGTTCCAGAAACCTTAAGATGTAACAAGGTCTGGATGAGAAAACTGGGCTAGAATGGGAAAACTCTTTTTTTTGTTTTTGCCTGTACTGCATGGCATGCAGGATCTTATTAGTTCCCTGACTAGGGACTGAACTCATGCCCCTTGCAGTAGACGTGTGGAGTCCTAACCATTGGACCACCAGGGAATTTCCTCCTCATCATTTTTTATTTAAATGATTTTATTTATTTTTGGCTGAGCTGGGGTTTCATTGCTGTGTGGACTTTTCTCTATTTTCAGCGAGCAGGGGTCACTCATTAGTTGCAATGCATGGGCTTCTCATTGCAGCGACCTCTCTTGTAGAGCATGGGCCCTAGGCATGTGGGATTCAGTAGCTGCAGCTCTTGGGTTCAGTAGTTGCAGCTCCTGGGCTCTAGAGCACAGGCTCAATAGTTGTGGGGCACAGGCTTAGTTTTTTGAGGCATGTGAGATCTTCCCGGATCAGGGATTAAACCTGGATCTCCTGCATCAGCAAGCAGATTTTTTACCACTGAGCCACCAGGGAAGCCCCCTCATCTTCTTAATAGCCATGAATCTTAAAGACTAACAAAGTGTGCAACTCTATGTGTCTAGATAGACAAAGAAAATAATGGCAGTACTTCTTTAGGAGACAAATATTCTGATAGTGCAGAACAGATTACCAATGAACCAAGGAAGAAGTCTGCTCGGAGTGTCAGTTCCACAGCACTGCCAGGCACTCTCTTCCAGCATCCAAAACATGCAGGGTGAGGTAAGGGCCTCTCTTTGGCTAGTTTTCCAGACTGGCCTGGCTCAGGGAATTCGGGGGATCATCCTTTCTGAAAGAACTACAGGGCAGGACCTCCAATAAGAATGGATCAAGGAGAACCAAGCACTCCTGTCTCATCTGGAGCTTGCTCATGATGCCCACCTGAGGTCTGAGTCACCGTGGACTGAGGTCACGTTCACTCTAGGTGTGACCTTGGATGTGACTCCACAAAGGTGAACTCACCAGGCCCTGGACTGGTCTGGAAATACCCGCAGCCTCCCTGGGTCTGAATGCCCAGCCTTCCACTGCTCCTCTGCATCGGACCAAGAATGGATCCTCCGGCCAATTGGGACTCCCTTGAATGAGTGTGCAAACAGGCTCCCATTTCAGTCTAATATTCACCATGTGGTGGTATTTTAGGGGGAGAACCTATTTAACACAGAGCTGGTCAGAGAAGCTCTCTGCAGACATGGTTTGGTGAGGATGGCTGAGGTAGGCTAGCAAGTGAGCCTCCCTAACAACAGGTGGGTGACCTGATCCTTCTAAAATATAATGATCTCTATGAAAATCCTATACATTCTACAACATCTCATCCCAAGGGAAGAAGGAAGAACTGATTTAGGCTCAGGGTGAACCATATGAATGTTTAAGGAGGTTTGGTTACGTCAGGTGCAACAAGGACCTGAGAAGTTTTGTTCAATTAAAGTACAACCAATGGTCCCTTCCTGGGCCTTCTCCAGACACAACATGGTCTGCAACCTGGGCTTACTGTTACATAGGAAAAAAGCAATGATTAGAGTCATCCTTCAGTATCGGTAAGTTCTGCATTTGTGGATTCAATGAACCACAGAAAAAAAATTGAAAAAATTCCAGAAAGTTCTAACTTTTTTCCCATGCACCAGCAACTATTTACATAACTGGGCTTCGTAGGTGGCTCAGTGGGTAATGAATGCAGGAAAGCAGGAGACATGGGTTTAATCTCTGGGTCGGGAAGATCCCTTGGAGGAGGGCATGGCAACCCACTCCAGTATTCTTGCTTGGAGAATCCCAGGGACAGAGGAGCCTCGTGGGCTACAGTCCATAGGGTTGCAAAGAGTTGGACATGACTGAAGCAACCGAGCATAGGTATTAAAAGTAACCTAGAGATGTTAGAAGCATATGGGAAGATGTGTGTAGTTATATGCAAATATTATGCTACTTTTATATAAAGGACTTGAGCATCAGTGGCTTCTGGTATCCACAGGATGGGGGGTGTCATGGAACTAATTCCCCCCACCCAGATTTGTTGGGACAGCTGTACTCTAGTCCTTGTTCAATAACTAAGTTGTGTCCAACCCTTTTCCACCCCATGGACTGCAGCACACCAGGCTCCTCTGTCCTCCACTATGTCCCAGAGTTTGCTTGAATTCATGTCTCAAAGGGCTCAATAGTCCTCCTTAGCAACTCACTACTGTGTAAACTTCACAGCTCTGTCACCAGCATTACTATTATTCACGTGCCAACCTGACCTACCTCTCTCTGGAGATTGATGTCTGCTCCCTGCAGGACAAGCTCCTTCACACAGTCTATGTGGCCAGCATAGGAGGCGACCATGAGGAGTGTGGTCCCATGCTGGGGGAGGAGAGACACGTGAGCAGTTAGGCCACCATGACGTCAGAGAGGCACCCGGAGAAGAGGCTGCCAAGGTCAGCCCCTCCCAGGACATGGCTGAGCTGAACGCAACAGCTCCCGCAGTAAAGAAAACTGCCTCATGAATAATCTTATAAAGCAGATGATGCAGGAGAAAGCAAAATGACAAACTGCTGAGGCTGGAGTTTTCAATTTAAACATTCGCTTACTTCCATTACCATCAGAAACACAGTCCAAGTGAACCATAGCTACTGTATTTTGAGGCAGCCGCAATGGAATGGCCTTATTTTATGACTCCTATTAAATGATTCCTGAGCCAAAACACCATTATTAATGCAAAAAGGTGGGCTGAGTGACACTAGTCGGTTTTCTGAGCTTAGAATTCTTTGTCTTCATACTGATTCAGGTAGAGATGCAATGAGAGGCTACAGAAGTGAGAGTCAGGAGCCCCGGGGGCCACTAGCACACAGAGGCACACTGCTCACACTTTCCGGGGCTCATTTACTGCATCTTTAAAATGAGGAATTGGATGAGATGACTGCCAAGGTCTTCGCTACCGTTAGATTCCAGGACCTGGGGCTTCCCTGGTGGTCCAGTGGTAAAGAATCTGCCTGCCAATGCAGGAGACACAGATTGGATCCCTGATCTTGGAGAATCCCACATGCCGCAGAGCAACTAAGACCATTCGCCACAACTACTGAGACTACTCTAGAGCCCCGGAGCCGCAACTACTGGGCCCACGTGCTGCAGCTACTGAAGCCCATGTGTCCTAGGGCCTGTGCTCTGCAACAAGGGAAGCCACAACAATGAGAAGCCTGCACACAGCAACTAGAGAGTAACTCCTGCTCTCTGCAAAAAGAGAAAAGCCCACACAGCAATGAAGACCTAGCACAGCCAAAAATGCATAAATAAAATAAATAAATAACTTTAAAAATGATTCAAGGACTTGAATAACTAATGAGGACCTACTGTATAGCACAAGGAACTCTACTCAATGCTCTATGGTGACCTAAAAGGGAAGGAAATCCAAAAAAAGAGGGGATACATGTATATGTATAGCTGATTCATTTTGCTGTATCGCAGAAACACAACATTGTAAACCAACTATACTCCAATTACAATTAATTTAAAAAAAAGAAAAATTTTCTATTGTGGGCACATTGGTCTCAAAATACAAATCAATCATGAGCTAGAGGAAGCAGAGAGCACTTAACTTGGACATTTCACAAAGAAAATTTTAAATGTCAGGCTTTATCTATATTAAAGTAAGGGAAGATGAATGAAACAAATTACCCCAAAATGCTTCTTTATGGATTCCATTTCACTTCTATAACATGGGCAACTGAGAAAAAGTCAGAGGTTGGGACAAAGGAGAAAGAGAATGAAGAAGCGGGATCTGTGGATGTAGGAAGGGACACAGAGCTGGAAGTCAGGGGTGTCTGGAAAGGGGTGACTTTAAGAAAAAGGAGTAAGTGGTCATCAACATGGTCAGTGGGTGAGACCACAATGAACTCGGGTGTTCCCACTCCAGAACTGTACAGTACGGCACTGCTGCCCAGAAATCCCCAGTAAGACCAGACAACCAGTTCACAGATGCCCAAGACCCCGTATCAGTCTGGGTCCTGGCAAAGAACAGACGGTACATTCAAACTGGGATAACTGGAAAGCAAGCATAATAAAGAGACTATTTATAAAGCTATGCTCTGGATGTAGGGAAACCACAAAGAAGAGGACTGACAGGGAGGGACAGTGGGGCTTCGATACCAGCCCAGGCCCCAAAGCACGAGAGGCAGGTGGTGGCTCCCTGGACAGACAGGGTAAGGGTGTTGCTGCCAGTCAGGAGAGGGGGGCTGGACTCCCCAATATTTCTGTCCTCCCAGCCTCTGATTCCCGCCAGGGCTCCCACTGGCCAAACCCTACTGGAGGTCGGAGGAAAGCGAGTCCCTGAGGGCAAGCCAGAGAGCTCTGGCTCTGGGACACAGAGCAAGTGGGGAGGAAGTTACACGTAGGTCCAGAGAAGCACCCTGAGCTGTCCTGTGCCAATGCCCCGGGGGGCAAAGGGGAGCAAACTTTGATACCTCACTAGGGCTGGTGGCTGATATCACCTACCAAATTTGTGTAATAAAAACTGGAAATGGCACAGCCTGTTTTCAGGAAAACAAGAAGGCTCCTGTGAAAACATTTCTATTTAATCCCTAAAATCAAAACATCTCCTTTCTCTCCTCATCTGAGGTCCTCTTAGTCCCCAGAGACGTGAAGTCCTGCTGAGAACAGAGATGACTGCCTCTGGCTGGGGAGGGAAGGACTCCGAAAGTGATGCTGCCAGTGGGTGGGAGGACATGCTTTAATTTAGTTCCCTGCCATCACTGATAAGTGAATTGATGTTTGCAAAGGTAGAAGGAAATGAGGTTGGGTGGGGGGCTTCCATCTCTCAGCAGAAAAACTCCAACTCCTCCATCCATGGCAGCCTCCTGAATCACCCTGCACCCCTTTTCTTCTTGGACTTGGCCAATTTTGATTTCCCAGTGACCTGTCTCTTCCCCTACTGTGGCCCCTCCTGTCTGATGCAGATAATGGTTTCCTGGATATGTTTCCCCACGGTACTCTGCATAAGTCTGAGCAAACTCCAGGAGAGATAGCGAAGGACAGGGAAGCCTGCCATGCTGCAGTCCATGGGGTCACAAAGAGTTGGACATGACTTAGCAGCTGAACAATAACAGTGGTGCTTTGGACTTTTTGAAAAGGATGAGGCAAGCAAACACATGGTAAGGGAGACAAGCGTAGGGAAAAGGGGACAAGCACTGTGAAGGGCAGGGTATTCAGCAGGCGCTCTCATGCCAGCGGGGGACAGCCAGCTCCTGGCATGCGGGTACCGAATGGACCGGTCCGTACACTGTCCCTACAGTCCACGTCCACGCGGCCGCTGTTCAGTAGCAGGCGGAGCAGAGTCAGGTTGCCCCTCCTCGCTGCCCAGAATGCCGCATTGGCAAGCGGGGTTTCCTTCTGCAGAAGCAAAATGAAACAGAATCTTTAAAATTGACTTTCATTAATGTGACCACTGCTATGTAAACACGTGCTGCCATTCAAAATGGAGAGTTTCCAGATGTGTCTGATCACTGGAAGGCGTGCTCCTCCCGCAGCGGGCCATCGTTGTATACGATGTATACTTGGCTATGGGATGCGGGTAACCCGAGCCCTGGGCTGTGGCAGAGAGCAGGGTTGTTGATCACACAGCACTATTAATATTCTCCATTTCCCACCAATGTCCTCACTTTCCTGCCTATGTGTCTTTGTTCAGTTTCCTTTTTGCTTGAAAGAATTCTCCCCAATCCTTCAAGGCCAAGGTTCTGCTTAACTGCGATTTCTTCTCTGCCATGTTCCCAAATGTCTCTTGTCTCTAAGCGGAGGGAAATCACCCCCAATTCTGAGTTTACCAGCATCTTTTCTGTGGCTCAGATGGTAAAGAATCCTCCTGTAATGTAGGAGACCTGGGTTCAATCCCTGGGTCAGGAAGATCCCCTAGAGAAGGGAATGGCTATCCACTCCAGTATTCTTGCCTGGAAACTCCCATGGACAGAGGAGCCTGGTGTTTGCAGCCCATGGGGTTGCAAAGAGATGAATATGACTGAGCGAGCGACAAACTAACTTTCTGTGTTGTCAATGCTTTCTACTCAATTCCAGCCGCCTGGGTAAACGCCTCGCTCTCCCTCTACCAAAGTTTCTTTGATTCAGCTGGAACTCGCCAGAGGTTTCTGTTGAGAACAAAGAACTCTGGGCAGGAAATGTTGCTATGCAACCTCAGGTGGATCCTTCAGCTCCAGTGTGGGGTCGTTTTAAAGTTGCTAAGTTAACCCTGAAACCATGACTATGGAAGGAACAGAGCTGGAGAACAGTTCTCCAGAATCAGAGTGGCAGAGCTGACTGAAGCACCACCTCCTTCTCTAAAATGCACTGATTTAGATTTGCAGAGAAAAGTCCATGGTGGGGGCGGAAGGACAGGCAGAACCAGATAGCTCTGGGCTTCAAGTCTGGCTTTGGACAATGGACTGGCCCTGATAAGTCCTGGTTTTCCCTTGCTTAGATGGAGATCACATGACATGCCCTGAACTTTATGGTAAAATTAAACGACGTAGGTTAAGGGAGGCTCAAGATGGAGGGGATATATTAATATGAACCCTTATAGCTGATTTATGCTGTTGTACACCAGAAACTAACATATAACTGTAAAGCTATTATACTACAACTAAAAAATAGAAGTAAATTTAAAAATTGATGTAGGTTAATTGGCTAATACCATATCTGGCATGTTATATGTGCCTATAAACACTAGTTTCCTTCCTTTTGTCCACTTTCTTTACAAAGTTAGAACCAACAGGCAAAATTAAAATCAGAGTATTGCTACTAATGACGAATTCACAGGAAATTTTTTAGTATTCAAATTAACAGGAATACTTTTTTTCGGTAGGCTTAAAGCACTCATCTCAGGGCTTCCCTGGTGGCTCAGATGGTGAAGAATCCTCCTGCAATGCAGGCAGACCTGGGTTTGATCCCTGGGTCAGAAAGAGTCCCTGGAGAAGGGAAAGGCTACCCACTCCAGTATTCTTGCCTGGAGAATTCCATGGACAGAGGAGCCTGGTGGGCTATATAGCCCATGGGATCACAAAGAGTCGGACATGACTGAGCGACTAACACTTTCTATCTTCAAAGCACCCCTCTGACCTAGAGAGTCTTATCTGCAATACATCTTCTAGGAATATTGATACATTTTTACATACAGACCTAGTGAAAAGTGAAAGTGAAAGTTGCTCAGTTGTGTCCGACTCTTTGAGACCTCATGAACTATACAGTCCATGGAATTCTCCAGGCCAGAATACTGGAGTGGGTAGCCTTTCCCTTCTCCAGGGGATCTTCCCAACCCAGGGTTTGAACCCAGGTCTCCCTCATTGCAGGCGGATTCTTTACCAGCTGAGCCACAAGGGAAGCCCAAGAATACTAGATTCCCTTCTCCAGCTGATCTTCCCGACCCAGGAATTGAACCGGGGTGTCCTGCGTTGCCGGCGGATTCTTTACCAACTGAACTATGAGGGAAGCCCTAACTGTACCTAACTCACCATCAATAGTTAAAAAGCAGACACCAACAGTTTTGGATGCTCCAAGGAGCCAACACAGGGAAAGTCCAGGGATGGCAGAGGGGTGGCAGCATCTGGGGTGGGAGGATTTCACTTGAGAAGCCCGTCAGCACGTACCCAACTTAGCGTTCTTGTGCATTCTTGGATCAGAGCGTGGAGAAGCAGGGAGTGATAAGCAGATTACAAACATACTTGCAATGCTTTCCAGGCTCTTTAGGAGGGAAAAAAATTCACCTTAAATTGCAGGTGAACCATTTGCTTCCCCTGAAGGTGTAAACTGTGCTGTCTCAGTTTTGTTTGTGGCTTTTACATCAGGCTGGGGCTGATGTTACAGTTGTGACTGCGAGAAGCCGCGGCAGGCGGGTTTGACTTGTATATAAATCGTGAAACAATGCCCCTTTAATAAGAAACACTGCACGAAGTATGGGAGGGTGAATCAGGAAGAGAATTTAATATACACCATGGAAACAGCTCTGCTGGCTTTTCCGGAAACATGAGAACTTGAGAGAAGTTAATTGTAAATCATTTTCAGTGATTCTGTTTCACTTTAACCCCACATGCCTTTCAAAAACCATCTGTAAACCACAAGCTTCTATTGTCATAACAAGCTCTCCAGTCAGGAGCCTCTCCTGCCTTTAGAATGGTCTCGGGGATTCCTCTCCTGCACAGGCTAGACATCCCCATTTCATAAAAGGCTCCAGAAACTGAGCTTTGGGAAAAGGTGTAAATCTTCCATTTTCCCTCAAGGGCTTGATTGATTGGCAGGTGGAGGCATGAGAAAGTTGTTGATTTGGGATAAGAGAGAGCCGAGTTCAAGTCCTGACCCTGCTGCGTCCCTGTTCTGGGACCTTGGGGGGGTTATTTAAGTTCTCTCTGCCCCAGGAAAGTGAGAATAGTATTAATAGTGCTAATATAGGCAATCTCCTTGGGGGACTGGTTCCAGGACTGCCTGCAGATACCAAAATCTGTGGATGTTCAAGTCTCTTATATAAATTGGCACAGTATTTCATATAAGCTATTTGCATATAACCTACACATATCTTCTCATATACTTTAAATCATCTGAGGGTTACTTATGATACCTTACACAATGTAAGTGCTATGTAAATAGTTGCCAGGGCAGGGCAAATTCAAGCTCTCTTGCTTGGAACTTTCTGAAATTTTCTGAATACTTTTGGTCTGTGGTTGAATCCACAGATGCAGAACCAGCAGACACAGAGGGTCAACTGTGCCTCTGTCATGGGTTGTTAGAGGATAAATGAGGTAATATGTGCAAATGCACTTCGATAGTAAACACTCAAGAAATGTGAGCTCTAAAAGCACAGTCCTCCTGTGCTTAGTCACTCGGTTGTGTCTGACTCTTCGTGACCTTGTGGACCACTGTCCATGGGACTCTCCAGGCAAGACTGGAGTGGGTTGCCATGCCCTCCTCCAGGGGATCTTCCACACCCAGGGATCGAACCTGTGTCTCTTATGTTTCCTGCACTGACAGGTGAGTTCTTTACCACTAGCACCACCTAGGAAGACCAAGCTACTTCTTACCAAATGCTTATTCCATACCACTGGCACATCCTCTGCAACACAGCTCAGTGAAGTGGGAACATTACTACCCTACTGCTCAGATGACATAAGTGAGAACAAGGCAGGCTGCAGCCCCAGGCAGTCTGGAGCTCAAGGCTAGGCTTTCAGCCATCCTCCTGCCTGCCTCCTGCAGAAGTCGCCTCCTGAGACAGCAAGAAACAAGCAGTGGCGACCCCAGTGACCCGCTTCCTAACCTCATGCCAAGCTCCTCTTCTGCCAACAGAGAAAGTCCCCTGGCCTTCTTTCTCTTAACAGACCACATTGCTTGGTAAACTTCCAAACGTCCTCTGGGCACAGTATGCACATAATCCTAAAATGCGGTTTATAAAGGGCAGCCCGTAAGCCTTGAAAGGAGCCGATGCATGTGAAAATGCCTCACACAAATCCTAAGGCACTTCACCAATCCGGTGGTGACTATTTAACCTCTTTCTTGGTTTTTTGCACCTCTGGCATCAGGTTATCGGTGTGATATAATGAGTTACAGCAACAACAACCTATGCTGGGTACTGCTCTGTGTCAGGCAGCGTGCTGGACACTCTCATTGCTCTAACACTTTTCATGCCCAGAACAATCTCACAAGGTAGATGCTACTGTTCCCATTTTTAGGATGAGAAAACTGAGGCACAGAAATGACTTACTCAAGGTCATCCACCTAGAAAGTAACAGAGCGAGGATTCAAACCTAAGTCTGTTTGGGTCCAGAGTCTGAGATCCTATATCTTATACCTTGTGAGAAAACCAGGGGACAACCTTCCACATATGTCATCTTCACCTCTCTTCCCCTAGCCCCCTTTTACTGCTAGAATTTTGGCTCACACACTGCTCATCAGCACACTACCAGAAATTAAATACAGGAAGGAAGGGGAGAGAAACACAGAAGGGAAGTTGTTACTTGTACAGAAATGGAATTTTGATTAAAAGCTAAGAGGGGGGTAGAGATCTCAACTACTAGCTTAAAAAATGATTGAAAATCATGTGGATTTTAAGTGTGTATAATTAATTTAATCAAGAGAACACTGACTTTGTTCAATGATGAATTTCTCTGGTGTTAGAAGCCACATTAAATGAGGAAATAAGAAGGGTGGAGAGACCACGTGCAGAAGGAGGTTTTTGAGATCTTACCGTTTCACTTTGTGCTAAATGGCTGAAATTTACAGAGTCACCTAAAAACCTTAACTGAGCGTTAAACCTGTGTTGTAAGTATCATTACACTTCTGTAAATGACAGGAAACCACAGAGAAAAAGTAGGCAATTTAGGGGACTTCCGCAGGTGGGCCAGTGGTTAAAAATCCAC